CCCTATAACCTCCTTGTATGAACATAGCAAATCAATTACATCCAATGGCTGGAAAATACATAAGAAGTGGTCAGGAGAGAAGGAAGAGACGTTATGGTACCAGGAAAAATGGGAAAAACCTCTAGCAAAAAATTGTTTTCATGTTCATGTTATGGTGTGCAGCAGTCTATAAGGAAACAGTTTTTTCTAATGTCAGCTGTCATCTACTATCTCAGTCCTGCATAGCCGACCACTTAGCTCAACTGTATCCTGATGTAACCTGACTCCTGCCTCTCTCACAGCTTAGCTCAGCTGCTAATGCCGATTTCACACCCCTTATATGTGCTGCAGGGAGTGATCCCCCTGGGAGACTGCACTATTCAGCCAGCAGAGGAGGCCGGGCAGCCTTTTGCCATACATATCAACCATGAGGACTTCAGTGTAAGTGGTTTACACCTTTTATTGATTTCTTCTAAGAAACCTTTAGATTATATACACACATTCAACACAATGGTTTCAAACACTTTAGAAATAGATTAATCTGATGTCTGACATTCTCTCTCCTTTCAAAGTGACTAAAGAAATTAAAGATAATGAATATTAATTTTTCTGTCATACACAACTTATAAAAGCCTACAGCCTCGATCCACTATGTCTGATGTGTAACAGTGGTATAGTCTTGTACATGTAGTTATTTGATAGAAAGTTTGGTCATGTCACCTACCAACTAAGTGGAGCTTTTACTGGAAACAGTAGCAACAGCTACATTTGGCAAAACCTTGGTCATGTGATCAACGCAATTATGTGGTTTATTGTTCATTATTGGACACCCAAAGCAACCTACAGGGGCAATATAATTCATAAATCCTAGACTTAAGTTGCACCAAGACATTATACACAGAGTGTATAATGTCCTTGGTTGCACGAATAATGATGTACTTATAAACACTTTGACAGGGAACAATGACATTGATTTGATTGTAAAGGTCATTGAGTAAGTCACAGCATACAATTACAAATGTACAAGAGTACCACGACCTCATACCTTCGCCAAATTATGTTATCCCTTCCGGTTGACGAATTATACAATTTTAATAATTGATTTCGCAAAGAAGAGCGTCATTTGCATGGATAACATCAGTTGATCATATTCTCCCCCAGTATTCATTTTCATCCTAGTTGTTACAGTTATTTATTCCATCTTTCAATGCAATGGCATCATTAAAAGTTCAAAATTCATTGTTTATATTTTGAACCAGCCTTGTGTTGACTTCATGGCTCCTATCATACCATCTTGGGCCATAATAGGATGCCTAGGCCTGTTTTTCTTCATTTATTTTTTTTTCGCCCACTCACTCCATTATTTTTCTTAAAAAAATCCGTTAACCAAGAAAGTATGGCCTTATCTTAACAAAATAGGCTATTTTAGCACTTCCTCATAAATTATGCAAATGAGGTCATAATGTGAATAAATCATCTTCATTCATGTTCACCTTCACTTTACTTCCAAATGCCGCAAGTATTAAATTCCCAGCAATTACAACTATGAAATTATAACAATTTCCCATTGATCATGCAAATTAGGTCTTAATTTACATAATCTATATCCTCATATGTTTTTCTCGTTCTCAATTACATGTCACAAGTGTTTCATAGTCTTATTATCGAACGAAGCAGATTCATAGAACTTCCTCATAATTATGCAGATTAGCTCCTGATTTGCATAATTGTCATCTGATTATGTCAAGCATCATTTCAGCTACCTACATACCAAAAATCACGACAATCCGTTAACCGGTTCTTGAGTTATCCACCTTCGGAGATTTTTCAAGAAATGCTCCTGCAGTTCCAGAACAAGCTGCTAGGGGGCCCAAACTCATGTCACTTCTTCCCTATCCCAAGAGCTATCTGCTATCCGAAATTCGTGACCCTAGCATGTCCAGATCGCAAGATATCAAAACCGGAAGTTCTGCTGCAGTACCAACAAAAGCTGCCAGGGGGCCCAGAATCTAATCATTTCTAGGTCTCATCAAGACCTACCCACACCAATTAATTGCATGCAAGTTTCATGACAATCCATATTTATATCAAGCTTCTTGAGTTATGCTGTTCACAGACAAACGGACAGACAGACGGACAAACACTACTGAAAACATAACCTTCTTGGCGAAAGTAACAAGTGTGCAGGAAAAACTCCAGCTTATGTTACAGTGGTAGTCTCAGACTTCAAGTGCAGAGTTATCCTGTGGTTTTCCGAACTCTTAAGGTACCCTATTATGCCAGTAAGACTTTGATCTGTTTGAGAGCTTTTGTTCTCCCATCAGGCTTTGTTTCCTCCACACAGTCTGTTAGGAGATTCTCCAGCTCCCTCTTCATGCCTCGCGGAGGTCCGTACAGCAGACCCCTGCCGTATTCACACGCTGTGTCCTTGGAGGAGGAGAGAGTCACACGACCTTGTCCTGACCTGTCTGTCTGCCAGCATCCCAAGATCCTCTGGCAGGCGAGTGCGTACATGACCTGGCTGTAGCGAGCAGCCTGCCGACAGCTAGTCTCTGGGCGCTCCAGCAGACTGCGAGCAAACCCTCTAAAGCAGGCCTCGTTACAGACACTGGCTTGTTTGCTGGTGGAGTTTTTGTCAAGGTTGTGTTTGTTGATGATCGTCATCGCGCCAAGGTTAGTGAGAAAAAGCTGTCCATCAGATGAGACAGAAAAGTTTTCAATATTCACATCCACAGACATCAGCAGCCAATCAGGGTCCTTGTTCTGAAAGTCATCCAGCATCTGTAAGAGCTGCAGTGATAGGTTGGCTCTGAGCTGCCATGGGCCTTTGACCTCCAGGTACATGGACAGTGGCTTCCCTGGTGTCTCCATGGCAACAAGGTTTCCGCATGCTCCCAGGAATGCTGGGACGGGGAGTTTTTTCCGTGGGATTGCCTTGAGCAGTGCTATGTGAGGACATGTGTGCAGGGCGGTGTACAGGTGGGCCTGCTCCAGCCGGTTCAGCTTCTTGTTCCCATTGTCATCAAAAGTTCTTTGCAGCATCTTAAGGAGTGGTTTGGACATGCAGCTGGTGGCTGGGAGGGACTTGTTGGGATGTAAGACATGGAGTGATTTCTTCAGATGTTCCACCTGTAACAACTCCTTCAGGTTCTGTTTCAGAAGCACCTCCCCTACATCGCACGTTGTCTCAGGCTCACAAACAAACTTCTCAAACGTCTCCAGGAGCTCCTCTGATGCACACCGGGTAACAGTCACGTTCACCTTGTCCCAGGTCCCAGCATAGGCCTTGACCTTCCCACTTGTGACCTCTGACCCTAGCTTTATCATACCATCTTCAAACTCCTCGCACAGGTTGTCTCCAAGACATGCTGGACATCTGTCATTACGTAATAAGGACTGAGGAATACCTTTGGGCTTTTTCTCTGGCACAGCTGATGTTGACTGGTTCAGACGTGGCTTTTCTTTTGTCTCCTCCTTGTGAAGCTGCTTCTCCTGCTGTTTGTGTGTTGGTTCATGTTGCTCTTTCACCTTCTGTTCCTTCTCCCCCCCAACAGCGTCCTGCACTTGTTTATTACCAGCCCCTAGTTGGCTGACACTGACCCAGGGTGACCCCTGCACCTGTACCAGGTAGATGTACAGCACGGCCAGACTGGCACTGACCAGTATAACCAGTGGCAGGCAACATTTTCTCAACATACGCTTCGGCAACATTTCTCTGCCTCGCCTCCTCTGTATCCGGCTTCACGAATGGTAGATTAAAGCTGTTAATCATTAACCAGATGTAAGCAAACTGTGTGCTCACAAAGGGCTGATGTCATGCATGTACCAAAGTTGCTGCTCTAAGATAAATATGTACTGAAGTATTGGTGCAAATATACACATACAGCACTTACATGGAGAGGCTAAGAGCTAGCATTTCCAAAATCTCACTGCTGAAAACTTGTTGGCTGGTGTATATTTACCCAAACAAACAACATGTAAATAAGTAATGGCAAGCAGTAAACTTCTGTGATTTGTTAATTTGCTCTCTTACAGTGGATGGGACAGCATGCTCTGTACTATTTACAGAGGTATCAATCTAGTTTTTACCTGGCTTTGTAATTGCGCCTGAGTAACCAGGTCATGTCTTGGACCATACAGTGATATCACATACAATTACATATCACAGGCACGTACATGTGGCCACTCCAGTATTTTTCATCTTTTTGCAGATTCATGTTGTCTTTTTTAGGCAAGAAGGAATGAAAATGTCGTCCTTATGTCGTCAGAAGACATTTTTGTTTGCTATGTACGGATGGCTTGTCTGCCAGGCAACTGAGGCAGGCTCCTTTCAACAAAAATGACAGCCGGTTGATTCTTTGGCTAGCAGTCTCTGGCTTTCTGACAAGTGGGGTCTATTCAGTAGTCAGAGGAGAGGGGGCAGTTATAATTTCAATTCATGACAAATTAAAGATCTTTGTCAGACAAGTTCTTATCCATGTCCAAGGCTGTAAGGCCACACCGATTAAATTTTATGGATGACATCCGCGCGCGCATTGATTTTCGCCCGATCTCAAAAAAAAAAATATCACGTCTTCTGAGGCTCTGGACTGGCTTTAGGCCTGGGTAGTGCATGGTGGTGATAACTCTGGTTGACGGCAGCCAGGCTACCGAAGCTCCAAGACTCAAGAACTCAGTACATACGTACAGTGTCGATTCATAAATTCCGCAAAAATCCAGCATGTGCCGGCTTATCGTATACGTCGCTATGTAATGCGCCAAATTCACAATACCAGCTTTGTATTCCTGTGGTTTAGTAGCATTTTTATTTTTGGCTGGATTTTTCTTTTTTTCGCCCGCACGCACTAGTTTGGGGGTCTTCAGAGGATGTCATCCATAAAATTAAATCGGTGTGGCCTAAACGTGAATTCAAAGAGATGGCAATGTCAGGGACCATCATTTTTACCTTATATTTCCCCAGCAAACTGTTGCCCTGGCAACTGACAGTGAACTTGACAGGGACAAGTGGGTGGAGTATTTTACAGAGCTCAGGCAGAGTGTGAGTAACCATTCAGCTTTTTTTTGTTGAATACTTAGTACTCATTGCAGGCAATCATGAAATAATATGTAATCAGAAAAAAAACACAGCACTGTAATGTTATATAAATATCTATTGTGATCACTCAATTGACTCAAAGAATATGGTCAAAGTAGTCTTGAGGCCACCATGTGGCTGCCGTGGCAAGGTTGTCTTGTCTTTACAGGTAGTCACTGCTGCAGGACTGACTGTAATTTAATTTCTGTCTGCCATGAAGGCCATGTCCTCCCCATCACAGAATTGCTGTGACCTGTTGTGCTGATATCTGTGACCTTTGACCTGTTGTCCTGACAGGACGTGGAAGAACGCCCAGCTGGGGGAGGCCATGATCCAGACTCTGGAGCAGCAGGGTCTGCAGATGGCTAAGGAGAAACAGGAGTACATCAGTGGGTGTTAACCTGATTTACATGCTGTTCATTGTTGCCTTTATTGTTTTCCTGGTGTCTTCCATAGGCTCCTTTGGTGTCCCCTGTAAGTAAGTAACAGTTGATAAGAGGGATCCACATCTGCATGCCATGTCTTGTCAATGAGAATTAACTTGAGTAATATGTATTTGACAAAAGGACGGCTTGGTATACCGTCCATGTGATTGTCCAGGAAAGAACGTCTACCAAAAAGAATTTGTTGATAATGCTGAGTGCCTTCTGATTTCTCCCCCTACAGACCAGATCCACACTCAGGTCCATGAACTATGCAGTGAACGGGAAGAGAAGGAGGTGAGAATGGCCAAACTTGTAAGGTCTGCATGTATTTTTCACTTGAAGTGTGATTTACTTTTTATTACTGCAATGTTATCTTATATTGTTGTTTGGTGTAATGTAGCCATCTGCTGATGTTACTCCAAGGGGCGGCTGAGAATACAGATATTGATTGGTAACAGTTATATGTACAAACAGCTGCCTTGGACTACTACTGGTAAATATAAAGATCTAACATATGATCATACTTATCTAAGATTGGTGAGTGGATGTTGACATGATTTATTGTTGTTTTCTTAAGGAGTTAGAGAGAATAACCAAGGAGCTGGAGGAAGAGAAGAAGAAGGTGGAGAAGGTCGCAGAACAGCTCAGCATGGAGCAGGAAAATGTCAGGACGTGAGTGAGAAGATTTAGAATCGTGGCTAGTCTTTCATATCTTCTTCTCTCTGCCTAATCCGTGCCCAATATGCATTTGGTGCCAGAAGGCAACTTCAGCAGAGAGAAGATTAAGCGAAGTTCCCTTACTGCACTTACTTGTCATCCTCAACATGGTTGCATTACCATCACAATCCTCTAGCAGCTTCCTCTTAAACTGCAGCTTCCTTCTGAACTGCAGACTTGAAGGTTGGCTATTTTATGGAGGAAACTTACCAATCCTATCAAGAAACTTTGCTCCCATGATAGTGGTACCCAGGATCATGAATGGAATATATAATGTTCACCAGTGCTTCTTCCTTCCCTCTCATCCAGAGAGCTGGACCAGACTGTGGAGGCTCTGAAGGCAATAGAAGAGGAGAAACAGTCTCTCCACACAACAGCTTCTGACCTCCAACACAGTCTACAGGTGAATTACAGGAACAGTTCTGTTTTCATTCAGGCTTTTCTATAGAGTGTTAAATCAACACCAGGATACAAAATCCCTCTTTTGCTACAAGTGCATAGTTCTGATTGTAAAGATTGACTGAATGTTGCTGATGATTATTTACCCTGCTGCCAATCCTTGAAGATTCCATATCTTGTCTGCTTTACAAATTGAAGACTCTGTGTCTTGTGTTTCTCCAGCTCCTGGCAGACGAGAAGGAGAAGATCCTGGCTGAGGTGGAGGAGAAGGAGAAGCTCACCCAGAAGTTAGCCGATGAAAACACTTCCTTAGCCAAGACAACCAACTCCTTCAAGGGCACTCTCAAGGACATTGAGGACAAGATGAGGAGTATTGAGCAGGAGAAGGAAGAAGCTGCGCAAAGGTCAAATCTTGGGTCCTGCCAAGGATCAGTCCTACTTTACTGCATGTCACTACCGATTGATTTGGTCACTTTACAATCATCACAGTTGGAGCTGTTACTGTGTGCAGAATAGCTTCATATGGCACACTTCTCCCATGTTCTTAATTGTTCTGTTATAACAATATGGGCTCTACAGGGAAGTGCAAAGATCCTTTAGCAGGAAACAAACTTCTCAATTGTCAACATTGAAGAACGTTTTGGAGAATGTACTGCAATGTAGTAGCTTTTCTGCTCCAGACGTGGCTCACTAGTTACACCTTAGCACCTGTGTTGCAGGTTGTTGGAGAAGGAGGAGTTGGCACGGCAGCTGGAGAGGGAGAAGGACTCGTACTCCGCACAGGCCCAGGAACTACAGTCTTCACTGGACGTCAGTATCATGCTGTTCCATAATACTGTGTACAACTTTTAGATAACGTGTTATGCTGATGAAGATTATCACTGGGTAAATGATATTCATACTGATATAGACAATTCAAATCTTCTATGAATTTTTGCGTGACAGATGCTTTGAGTGATGTCCATCACTCTTCTTCTGTATCATTAAATGAATTAAACTGACAGAACTAGTCAACATTTATATATGAGGAATACATGGAAAAGAGTGATGGATGTCACTCGAAATGTCAGGAAGTAGTCCAGTAGTAGATTGAAATATCTATGAGTATGATATGATATCTGATGAAAAATCTATAGCCTGTTAAGCTTATTCATATGCTTGCTTAATTGTTGTCTGTTGTTCTTCAGGACTTGAGTGCCCAAAAAGAGATGACAGAGTCAGAACTTAGGGTAAGTTTTTTCTGTGACCATTCTTTCATTTGTAGGCTGTAGGGCTATGTCCATTCAGTAGTGCAGATAAATGTCTGAATCTGAATGTAAAAAGCCACAGATGCCAATGATTCTCCTCTAATTGCTGCTGCTTTTTCTGCAGGAGGAGGTTGTGGCTCGGCTGAACACAGAGAAGCGGCTGCGGCAGGCGGAGGACGCCCTGGAGCGACTAGACTTGGCGCTGAGGGACCTCATCAGTGAACAGAAGGCCAGCAATGGCAACCGCAGCAGCCAGATGGTTGCTGACGTCGGCAGTCTCAAGAGTAGGCACAGCTTCTAACCTGTTATCTCATACTTTACTCAGGCCACGCCAATCACATTTGGTGGTTCTTGGATAGAAGTGCTGAAGTTGAAAATCAGCATGAAGAAACTGAGCAAGTGAATATGACGTTAGCCATAGCATATTTATATCAACCTCATGGTCAATTTTTACGGTAGAATGTCCAAGAACTAGGAAATGAATTTGTGTGGCCTGATCTATTGTACTTAGTCATGGTGTTCTGAAGCTGTCTGGCTGCCACGTTGTGACGTTGTGCACCATCCTGGTGTAAGTTGTTACTCATAAAAGTGGCTGAATGTTAAGTAGCCAGTGTTGTATATTTCTGTGTACTGTGCTGTTCTGTCACTTTTTGTCTTACATGATACCAACTGGAACTTCTTTCCTTGACACCTTCTGTTCCTTCTTCTCATCTCCCTCCTCACCCCTGACCTGCTATCCTGTCACCCCTGACCCACTTACCTTCAACCCTCACCTCTGTCCTACTGTCCTATAACCTCAGCGACCTTTCGGACCCTGGAGGCCCAGCAGGCTCTGGACCGTCTGGAGGTCACGGTGGCAGAGTGTGCCCTACAGTGCAATGACCTCATGAACCTGGAATGTCAATGTCAAATCATAGCCGACATTGCAACAATTCGACGTAAGTTCTTTTCTTCCTTCCTTCCTCTTCCTTCACGACAAACCTTCAGAAGCTTCTTAAATCTACACTGTCTCTGTTCTGGCCTAACAAATTCCATTTTGTTAAGAAAAGCTACATCATGTAGGGCCCCAACTGCAGGGCCCCATGAAAACCACCAAAGTGATGATATGCATTTGCCTGCCTACATGAAAAATAAATACAGAAAAAATGAAAGAAAGAATAGGATACTGCAGTAAACATTACTGCCATTTCTACCAGCAGTAAACAACATTTACCTCTAGATAAAACCCATTAACAGCGGGGGCTGTTTGAGGTGTGGCAAATCCTAGGTGACAATCATCCTGTCCAACCTCTGCTGGCAGAATAGAGGGGGTTTAGATGGATGATTGTTTGAATTGTTTTTTTTTAGGAGTTAGTTTAGACAGATGATTGTTTGTTGTTTGTTTCAGAATTTTTTGAGGAATGTGCCCAGGAGGCAAAGGTTGATGCAGACAAGCCGGTCATCATGAAGAACGCTTTACACGCTCGCAAGAACTATGTCCGCAAGGCCGCCACCATTCGCTTCAAGAGGACCAAGTCCACCAGCAGTGCCAGTGGTGAGCCAGATTCTGCAGGGTTATACAAATGTAGTCAGCTTGCTAAAGTTTCATGATTTGTCTGTTGTTGCTGCTGTGTTTGTGATGAGTAAGTGTTACCTTTTTGAAGAAGTACATATAATATAATTTTGAGGCCAATCCTTCCAGCAGGTTTCTTTCAAACTGCAGATTGCGAGCATGTCCGTCCTACGAAGGAAACTGAGCTGGCTTTGCAAGGTTTTCTTTCCAGTGTCATGAATATCATTTTTCTCAAACGATGATGATCATACAAATTTTTTTCCTCAAGGATTGAAGACTGCAAGAAAAGTCAAACCCACGGCTGAGGACAAAATCAACACAACATTCTAAGGACTGCAGACGGTTGGTAACCATGGCAACAGAGCACTTCCCCAGATTCATCCTTTTTTCTCTTTTTTTGGCTCAGGGAAGGGTCATTGTGGTGGTTCCTACTCATTCCATCTGTGCTGGCATTGCTTGTGTTGTCATGGTGATATGTTGTCATGGTGATATGTTGTCATGGTGATGAGATGTAATCTTGGCAATGCATTATGGGATTGTTAATCTTCCCAAGATGCACTACTTATGAAGCTTTCTTAATCATACCTAAAGAGTGCATGGCAGTTAACATTTAGTGGATAATCCAGTAATAAGTTGCATGATGCATGGAATGTTGTAACATGATTGAATATTTACCAGACCTCCTTGTACCTAAATGTGCATCATAACTAGAAATGGTGGCTTCGGTGTATATGCATAACAGCATCAGCTAAATTTTGTTAACCCTCTGATGTCAAGGCCTACCAGAACTAGATTTTGACATGACATCATGAGTGTTAAAATCTAGATTGTGTATGTTACATCATTGATAGAAATTAAAGAAACTAATGCTTCAGCATGCCATAATGGTTACATGTGAGTTACACTTACAGTGAAATGAGTAAGTGGTACCTTCAGCATGTTTTACATGTTTTTACTTGGAAATTTGCACAATGATGTTAAACCTGTTTTCCAGCCCCCTCCTCTCGTCAAAAGGGACTGTTCAGTCCCTGCTCCGCAAGGCGGACAGCCCGTATGGTGAACTCAGACCCCCAGCTGAGGCACAGCATGATTGGCACCTTGGCAGAAGTGGAGAGGGACCTGCAGGTCATGTATAAGGACCAAGTTTAACAATGCCTTCTAGCAGTAGAGTAGGGTACTGCAAGTACTGTAGAACAGCATGGAAAATTCTCATATCTTCAATTTCTGTACAGAACAAAGTAGTTAATAGGTATTTAGTTAAATTAAAAGTAAGACAAAACAATTATAATCAAGGAATTTCAGAAGAGAGCTTTTATGTTTGAAAGGTAAAAGCCACAAATATGTTGGGTATCTTTATGTGAATCTGAGAAAAAAACATCTGTGAGAAGGCACAAAGTGTTTTAGTGTCAATTTATGTTTTTTTTTGTGTTTTATATCTTTTTGACATGTATGTACACCTGGTGTTTTGTTTCTTAATACGGGAAGGTGCAAAATGCTAAACTAGGAAAACTTGCTGGTTTGTTTAATAGAAAGCAATCTGATACATGTTTAAACTATCATAGTGTGAGGGGAGACTGTGTAAGTAAATGTTTTAGGAAAATTTTCAGTAATGAATCTTTTCAGTAAAGAAGTATTAAGCTATATATTCATTAAGCTTTGTACAGCTGTGCCTGAAAATGCACTAGCAGGCAAGGCCAGTATGTTTCATCACACCAAATGTTGATTGAACCTCCTTGTCGTATGAAGTATCTACTTCCCGACAGGCACATTTTTACTTGGATTTCTTGTGCCTTGGAAGGCATTACAAACGCTGGGACTCATAGTGGTCTGTTGTTGTTCAAACTTTATTCTCTCACAGCAAAGAAAATGTAACCAAATTCATGGCTAGCCTGTGTTTACACAATCTCCCACTGGATGGGGTTAATAAACCCTCTCTGTTGGGCGGGCCGGTTGCTAGGAGTGCAATCTAGGCTTATTCATGACCATCTTTACTACAGCCTTCATCATGTTTGAATGACTAATCATTTAGGCTAAGTGACCTTACAAATATCAGCAAAAATGTGTATTCTGCTTTAACTGCCCTGATGTAGATGGCATTGACAGCCCTTTCTGTCCTATTGTCTGTTGCACTGTCAATCCTACTTATTCCTAATCTAAACAGGACAGCAAAAAGCCCCAGACCTTCCAATGTCAGTGTCAACTAGAACTAGGATTTTGTATCAAGATGTGCCAAGTCAGTCTCCCAAGCATTGCTGTGGGATCTTTCTGTGCAAACATAACTCTCTACTACAGTGTACAGTACACCAGTAACAAAGCACCAGTGTACACAGGCTCTCCCAGTGTTAAATGTTCAAACAGCCCAAAACACTGTAACATATACATGTAGGAATTTTAAGGCCACACCAATTCATTGGCCACACAATTTTGTCAACAAAAGACAGTTCTGAAAGCCAACAATTGAACTGGTGTGGCTTAAGCATGAAAGTTCTGAAACTGATGACATAAACATTAGAGCCTTATTCCCCCATCCGCCAAAAAGGAACCATGTAAGCTCCTTTATGTATATACTCGTATCAAGGCCAAGTTGTTTCAGTGGCAATTTCTATTGATGTGTACATTTCTTACAACAGAAATTTCAAGGTGATGATTGTATTTTAACGTGGGTGTACTCTATCAACATCTGATTAATGTGTACAGATTTCTTGTGCATTTTAACCAGAAACCGATCAGACAATTTTATACATTTTAGCTAGTGGCAAATTACTGTCTGTAAGTCCTGTTGAATGAATATAATCAAAATCATGTGAAACTTATGTGTGGTTGCTTTATTGGTGTGTTGACTTTCTTAAGTTGCTGAAGAGGACAAAGTACAAAAGAAGAGCAAAGCCTTTGTGATTGACCGTACAATTTATTTTTCCTTTGTAATTTGCACATCACCATGTGTAAATGGTGAGTTCTGGTGGTTATACAGGTACATCAGAAAACAATCCTCACTGTACATGGAAAGTAAGAAAATTGGAAATGTTGTGAATGTGGAATGCTGTAGACATTGCTTTTGCTCCATTAGATTGAAAACATGAGTATACTATATAGCTGCTCAGTTGATATGTTTTCAGCTGTCTGGATACCAGGACAACTTACTGACAAGGCACAAACAGCTTGGCAAATGTTTAAACATAATATTATAATCCATAGAAATCATAACAACAAACTGTACATCAACAACCAATCCGTGTATTTACAGGTCTAAAAATACATCAAAAATACATTTACAACTCTTGTTAACTAATACATACACATTTTCTTGCAAGAAATTTGCAGCATGTCACACCGGGCACAGTTCACAGTGATTAGGACTAAACCAACTTCCCCATAATTCTAGTCTTACGGTGGCTTTACAGTCCCATCTAAAAGTTTACTTATTCCTGCACTGTATATCCAAAAGGTAGTTTGTATCTGCTATTACTGATGTTTTAGGTCTTGCTATAGACCTTAAAAGCATTGGGATCTGAACTGTTAATTTGAGAACAGTTCGACAATTGCAATCTTCCTTTACCTTTGAATGAAAAGCTAATCTTTGTTCAATAAAAATTGCCCCCCAGATTTCCTATAGTATATACTAGCACCAGAGAAGCTGACATGTCTAACAGCAGAATTCCAGCAGTAAATGGCCAATTCCCTGTGAGATCACAATGAGAAGACCGTAGCAGCATCTGTGTCCACTCTGGACTGCAGGAGGCTACCTTCACCCTTTATCATCGTCTTCCCTGACACAGGATAACATAGAAATCAAATATCTAACATACGACAAGGTGTGCCATAACATTCTACCCATTGCATTGTTTAAGGTTACATTGCAATTTCAAATTATGGTGTGTAGTTTCAAAGAAAAGAACCAAATAGTTCAGTCATATACACATCCACAAGATTTTATGTCTGCATGTGGTGTCTTGATGTAAAAATGTTAATTGTGTATGTGTATTGTTATTTCTATTTTTTTTTAAAATACAGGACCTGAGCCTGCTTCAAACAATAAATAAAATAAATGAATACCTTGTTGCTGCAGGATTTTCTGCCGTGCCTTGAAGAAGGCCATGATGTCAGCGTCTGCTCTGGCGTCTCCAGTGAGGGGAATGGCAGGGGCAGCCGACCTGGGGGGAGGGGGGCAGGACCTACCGTTACCTCAAGTACACTAATTCAGTTTTTTAAATACGAAGAGTACAAAATATGAGATTTTTTTCTTTCCTATTTCAAGTCTTCCTTTGCAAGTTATTGAATGAGCAGAAGGACATCTTTGTTCATGACTGATCTTCAGTTTTGTTGCTCAAACCTTGTAACAAAGAATTCCCATCTCTACATGTAATCTTACATGTGACCTAAGGATATTCCCAATAATGCACACCTGGAGTCCTCTAACACCTCCCTGTGCCTGGGCACCCTCCCGTGGGAACTGCTGCTGTCACTGTGAGAAGAATGTCTCCTGTTGCCATGGTGATCAAGCCCCACTGCATCCAGGTTGCCATGGTAACTGTTTGAAGCCCTGATTGGCTCTCCATCTGCCGTGGGACTGTCTGTAAAGGATCCGTGCCTGTTCCTTCTGCTACTCCCACCCTGGTGCACGTGGGATGGTCCGGGCTCCTGTGTTGGGCTGATGGAGAAGTTGGCTGCCATTTTTCGGGACGAGGAATGCTGAGGGGGGATTTATGGGGGGAGATGGGGAGGGGTTTTCCAGGCCGCCGGAGGCTCCTGAGGGGGTTTCTAAGAATGGGGAGGGGAAAAACACTACTTTTAGGGTTCTACAGTGAGGTCTCTAGGGCATGACTATTGCTGACACCTACTCGATGGAAATGTGCCTTAATTTTGCAAAGCTAGTTTTCTACTGGTCTTAATAACAAGGACAAAGACTATGTTTTTTCCTGGTTGCCTTGAGCTGACGCATGGTGAACAATGTATGTATTTATACAAAATGTTGATCAATATTATGATTTTTGATTGCTCCAACACTAATGCCTGAGGGTACCTTCCACTTACAGTATTTCTATAGCACATGTTACTATATAGCACATGTTGACAAAAATGAGGGCACCTACCGGAGCATGAGCATTGACAGTCTGTTCTGCCCACCAGAGCTCAAAATCCTTCTGCATCTGCAGCCGTGCCTTCTCCAGCAGGTGCTGCAGGTGCTCTATCTCCGTCTTCAGCACCCGCAGACGGTTGTACGTCACCTTGTAGCTGAAAGGGAGATGTGTCAGTCTCAGTCCAGTTTACATCAATGACAGTTAGACATCTAGATAGATCATAACGTGCCGGTAATACAGACAGTAATAAACATAAGAATTCAGTCTTTGCTCGGTATTCTCACCTGTCCTTCTCATCCTCCATCTGCTGCCTCAGGTGCTGCTCCTCCTCATCCGGCTCCTCTGAGAACCCAACATTCTCACTGATACCTGCAGTAACATTCATCATCATTTATTTATCAAAAGTGTGGTGGGCTCTTGAACATGCTCAAGGTGTGGTTCTTAAACATGGGACCTCCAGCTTTATGTCCCACCAGACAGAATGTTTCTTATCAAAGCTAGGTACTCATTTTCAGGTATAAAGTGCCCAAGGTACAACACTAGGGCCTGCTAGGGATTCATATCCAGAACCTTTAGATTCTACCCATCAACATCCCTAACCACAAGACCACCTGTTATATATAGCAGAAGTCTGGATCTCACCTTGAGCTGCCCTGGCCATCCTGTGCTGCTGGATCAGACTCTTCACATGATCTGAAACAAAGAAACAAACAGACTGAGTAGGGTTTGGGGATGGTTTTCATCATCTAAACATTAAAGTTAAATACACATAAAACTTACTGCAGGAAGCATACTTACATTAATAGGAAAGCTACAATGTTGCCAGTATCCATACTGTTTCCTAGAGTTACAGGTGAACATAGAGCTGTGTACCGGTACGCAGTACCGATACTGTACCGGAAAAATTGATTAGGTACAGGTCCAAAATACCTACTCCCTCAGTACCGGTACTGTACCTAAACAATTTCACACCAATTTTATGCCTATTTGTGACCTCAAATGTGTATAAAGGTGGTTAACAATGGGTCCCTGTGTAAGGACAGCGTGTTCATGAAAACAAAACACTTAGTTTTGCCTATATTTTATCTGAGCATTCGCCATAAACAAAGAATAAACCTTAACTATCAAGTTTATTTATGTTTTTTTTGTTATTGAAGGAGTTCAGAAGACCATATAAATTGGTCGAATTGTTCAGGTACAGGTTCAGGTCCGGACCTGTACCTAAACCTGTGTACCTGTACCTGTACCTGTACCTAAAATTTGTTTAGGTACACAGCTCTAGGTGAACAGTATTTATGGGACATCGGACTGTGTCATCTAGATTACTGGTGTCCAAACTGCCATCTTGTTAGTGTACACTAGTAATGTTGTATGATTATCTAAAAGACAAGAACTTGTTTGTTTTGCACTGTTGATAGATTTGAGTGAAAGATCTAAAATAAACTGAAAACTCTGTTGGTGACACTTACTGATCTGGGCCCTGGAGGAATTGACTTTTTCTCCCAGCTGTTTTGCCTCAGAGTATCTATAAGGAAACAGCATGAAAAGCTGATCAACTTTTCTTCAAAATGAGAAACAACAAAACTGAAAATTAAAGACCATTTCGTAAGTATGTTTGGGTTCCCATCTAGAAACCTGGTGAATGTAATTACTCCCATTGTATTTATTTATCTATTGGTTCTGCTGTGAAAGACATACAGCCAGGGTTGTGACTGGTACATTGTACAAATGTACAAACTCTGCTGACAATACAGGACATGAACATTACACACTTACATACAGGACATGAACATTAAATACTCATGTTCTACCTTAGCCTGCTATTGTAGTTTTGTATTGCAGTTTAGCGGTAACGTAGCAGGGAGAAGGTTAGTTTGTTAGTTAGTTACCTTTGTTTGAGCAGACTTTTCTGGTCGTCAATGGTGACGCTGTGTTCGTAGTCCCGCTTGAAAATCTCAAACGCCTCCTGCCTGCCTACAGACATCTCCCCGCCTATTTTCCTGAGCCGCACAGTGGTACTTTGTGAGTATGGAGGTGTGGTCTCCTTCTCTCGTGACTCGGAATGGCTGAGGCTCCTGCTGACGCTCACACTCTCCCGCGATCGCTCCTCCCTGCATGATAACATACAATGGGAGCTTAATGATGCTGTGCTTACAATACTTGTGATAAGAGAAATGTTAGCAGTTTTTGTACAGGTCAATGATAGGAATGTTGCCTTAAGCCAAGTTACGGTGTGGTCTGCAATACGCTGATAGAGTGATGGGAAAGAAGATGTTCCTGACATGTCCCACAATTTAGCCAGAGCACATCTGGGAGAGCCATTACTCTTATTGACAAGTGTGGAAGGATCATCAATGTGCTAGAATGATATTTCCAAAGACATGGGACAAAAGGCTTAACACCCAGTTTGATTACTGAACTGCAGTAGCGTGAAAGTCGGGATAATTATGCAACATTGAAATACACAACAGCTACACCAGTTCACCTGTTTCTGTGCTTGCTTCTGGAGGAGGGTGGTCTGCCCGGCCCGTTGGGCTGTGTCCCCTCCCCCGTGTGGAATGGAATGCCCCGCTCCTCCAGCAGCAGGGCCGCGTCCTGAGCTCGCTTCTTCTCCTTCTTCAGCATGTTCACAAGGATGTCTGAAGGGCAAAGGTCAAGGGGCAACAAAACACCTGGCCTCCTATGAACCACAGTGGGTCAGTCTGTTCACTGCAGTAGTCAGGAATACCCAAAGTCACTGCTGAGACAGACACATTGTCTAAAACTGGGCGGGAAACAACGTGTACAGACATCTCTTTTGAAAAAGAAATATTTCATTGCTTCCTAGAGACCCAAACCAGTTTCTGAGTCAGTGTCTGAGATTTTATCTTTCTTGAAGCAAAACATCTTGATTAAATGCTGTTAACATTCCTTCCAGTCAGCCATGTTAAGGATACTGATCTCGTTGTCTCGTTGCTGTAGCAGGTCCTTGAGTTTCTTGACCTCAGCTGACCCTGCTGTTGAGGGTGCGCTGCCCAGCCCGCTGTCCTCGCTGACCGACGGCTCCTCCTCCTCCTCCAATGCTCCGTTAGTCACCCCCGCCTTCCCAGCATGCCTCTCCAGAACCAGTCTCTGTCAGCAGCAGGGAGAGAGAAGGAACAGTTTATTATTGTCATTGACACTGAACAATTTACAGCACCAACCTGATGAAGCTGAAAAATACAGCAGAACAAAGCTGTAAACTCTAACATTTGTTACAACTTAATAACTTTAAACAGAAAAAAAATCATAATAAGACTTTCTCACTTTGAATATTCTGAAACATTCGTTGATTTTCCTCATGTCAGCTCCGACTGGCAGAGTGGCATCTGGGTCGGTGTCCTCGATGTACCCCTTCACCATCTGGTGCAGTCTGGTAAAATCACAAACATCAAACACATCACAAGGACTGGACAGTCAGTGGAGCTGATTTTTCACATGTTTCAGACAGTAAGCAGGGTCAGGGTTCCAATTGCGCATGCACAAGGTTAAAAGCAAGGACTTGTGATAAGTTTTTGTCCAGATCATGCTTGATACATGTCCAAACATGTTTTCTTTTAGCAAAAAGCTAGCTGCTTTAGTGAATCATACTCAACACTAGAGAAGTTTTAAGCCTGTTCTACACCTTGGATTGCTGCCCTTACCTGTCCATGTCCTCCCCAGACAGGTCATCTGTGGGCTGTTCACCTGTAGCCAGCGACAGCTGGTCCTTCAGCTCCACAATCTCCTTCTTCAGTCTCAGCACCATCTGGGAATTTATCACAATAACTTCTCAGAATCACTGGTCACATTGGATACACAAAGAGATTTAGAATCCTGGACATCTCTATGCAGACAGACAATGAGTGAAATGAAGGTACCATGTTGAACTCATGCAGGGAGAGGTTTAACATCTCAAACTGACACCCACCAGTTTGGGATCCACCTCCTCGTTAAGGAGAGCGTCATTCTTGATGAGAGCAACTCTCTGGGCAAACCTGCATGTAGAGATGGACTCCTGTAAATATAAATAAAACATTCTTAGTACAGGATAAAAGGATTGGGCACACCGAATGTCGGACGACTTGGACCATTACCAACTCGGCCCAGACAACTCGGCCCATCTACCTGGTCAACTCGGCCCATCTCCCTGGTCAACTTGGCCCAATACCGGAGACGGTAATTTAGGCAGAAACACACTCATCTTCAATAAGAAGTTCATTCAACTTATGTACAAAAGTAATCGGTACAACAGTCACATAATTATCGCCATGAAACATAGTAAGAATGTACTAAAATAGTGTGAACAAATGAATCCGTCTAGTATCGTGTGGTAGGCACATCGATGGGTAAAGTGGTCGCTCTCCGGTACACTGAATGACTAGACTTTTTAGATCCCATTTTATAGCCAAACAATTTAATAGTTTTGTTGTCTAACAAAAATCGCGGTCTCGGTTAAAGTCATGTTGATTGCCCAAGGGCAGGCTGGTTTTGACTTAAAAACTCAAAGTCTACAGTTCGAAGTTGTCTAACAAAAAGACGCGGTCTCTATAAAATCATGTTGATTGTCCAAGCACTGGCAGTTTGGGACTTAAAAAAACCTCATAGTCAACATGGTTGATTTGGTGGTGGGCCGAGTTGACCAGGGCGGTGGGTCAAGTTGACCAAATTTGCGATGGGCCGAGTTGGCAATGGTCCGAGTCGTCCTCATTCCGGGCACACCAACCATCACTTAACAGGTCCTAAGTCATGAAGACTGTTCGAGAGACTGCCGAAAATCATTGCATGCATTTAGCATTTATAAAACCCAATGTGTGGCCTAAGGTTACTCACATCAATGTTCTTCTTCTCCACAGAGCAGGTTGCGATCATGGTTGTCATGCAGTTCCCACCGAGGCTGTCGCGTAACACTGAGGTCATCATGGAGTTACGGTACGGGATGTGGGACCGAGACTTCTCTGACAACGCTACGATTACCTACATACAGAATAATACAACATACAAGCCATGTGGGTGCTCTGAATTGATTTTTTCAATAATATACACAGAAGCTGTTTATGGAGAAGTTTATGGAGCAAAAATATAACCCCCGAAAGACTTTTACGGATAACCAAGAGGTAAAGACCTCCTCATTTCAGACAACATTTACAGTGGAGGTAAACCATTACCCTTTGGAGCATTGCTACTGTGAGCTTTTCTCTCAAGATCCATTTTAAGCTCCTCTAAACTGTAGTTTATTTCATGTTGTAAGATAAATCCAGTTCAGTCTCCCCCAGTTGTGAGTTTGCCATACCTGCTCCAGATAGTGCAGTGATAGGTTGATATACTTGGCCTCTGCCAGGAGCGTTCCTCCGACACCTGTCTTACCAACTCTCTCAGACCTGGGGTGGGGCAACACGAGCGTCAACAGCTTTCAACAGCATGTGGGGTTAAGTATCCAGCTGCTACTTTATGCTTGTGAAATAACCAAATAAATTGCATAGGCATAACAAGTAAAGATAACTTGCTGTTTTACTTCATACAAACAATAAACATAAAACAAACAAATCCATACCCTGCCAAGTCCACCAGGTGCAGTTTAGACCGGCGGATGGTTGCTGAGCCGGGTTCTCGTGCCGTCAGGTGGATGGTGAAGATACAGTGGGACCGGGTTGACGCCTGATTCATCGGTGTCTGAAGGAAAAAAGGTGAAATACAAATGACTTTCAGACCAGTTAATCCTCACTCTCTGTGAGCTCTCTGTTTTGAGCATTGATACTTCTGACTTAGATGCTGTTCCATTAACCCAAACTCAGTTCGGTGACTAGAAGTTGTCTCTTGACCTTGCACTAAGCAAATTCCTTGAAAAACCTTCTCACTACTACTGAGGTAGTCTTTTGACAGGTAAGTCAGCCAGGGGCAAGTTAATCATTCCACCCTGACCTCTGCAATCATCCTGTTGGTGTCTCCCAGGAAGAGCAGGTTGAGAGCCTCCTCCTCGTTCATGGCCTGGTGAACAGACAGGTTCTTCAGGTGGATGTTCTGGTCAGTGTCTTCCATCAGGGATACCTTCCTGCAGGGTGAACACGGTTTTACTTCTTTTCTTGTCTTTTCTTATGGTGGTCAATGAGTATAAGGCAATGACCTTAGGTTGGCAAAACCTTTGTACGTGAAAGCAAAAATGGCAACATTTGAAGAGTAATGGTGTGTTAAGAATTTGGAACAGCTTCTTTTATAAAACTACCACATGCTACACTTTCTAATTTCAGACTGCCTGGTGCAAATGTAAGACTCACGGCAGGTCCTCTAGCTTGGCGGCCTCGTGTTTAGGGTCCAGCAGGTCGTAGCCGCTCTCATTGTAGATCTCCAGGTACGATACATGGGTCGTGTATGTAAACTCTGGATGCTGGGAGGGAAAGGACAAGGTCACACTCAACTCATCCAGTCCTCCTCAATCCTACCCCTACCCCTACCCCTACCCATACCTACCAACCCAGAACGACACACACACCTACTTACATGTACATATACTGAAGATCAGACCAAAATTCATGCCAGTTGCTAGCTGCACCACTTTATCAGCATTCTATATTGCCTACCTTTTCATAGTATTCAAACAGATAGGACAGTGTTCTTGGGATGATTCCTCTGTCTGCATATCTCTCTGCACCTCCAGTTATGGTAAAGGTCTTTCCACTGCCAGTCTGTAGAAGACAGGGGAAACATCAAATCCTACTTCTGCAGTAACAACTGTTACAGGCTTCAAAACTGTTTTACAGAAGCACCAAATGTAGCACAGCAACCTATGCAGTCTTCACTCGTACAACTATATTTTGGAAACGTTAATTTTTATCAACTGAAGTACAGACTTGGGCCAGCCTGAATATATCACACTTCTACCAGCCCCTTGAATTTGAATAACCCTGGGAGAAAGAGATTGTGTGTCACAAGCTAAAACTAACTTGGCCAGGCAGAATTTTTTTTCATTCTTAACCACATAGTTTGCATCATAAGCTATGCCATAATTGAATTCAAATCACTACATCAAGAGACCAGCCCAATCACTCTGGACATGATCCATCCCTATCCTGTCCCACTGGGTCACCCTGGTCTTCAGCCCCTTGTCGCTATGTTGACCCTGTACAGAAAGTGTGTAAACATGTCACAGAGGAGGGAGGGATGACCAGGGCAGGAAGTAAACAGGGAAGGGGAAATCCTGCTGACCTGGGCTGACCCTGATCTTTCCGGGACTGCTACAGTGGAGGACAGACTGTTTGATGTGGTTTTTGTGCAGGAAAGTGACAGAATTAGTCACAGCAACTCCTTATAAAACACACTAACTAGTGACTCGTAAGCATGACTGCTGAAAGAACCCTCAGGGTGGTGTTTCTAGTGGAACATATCTGAAGTTTCCTTCAGTTCTAGTCTTAGGAGACTGTACATCAGTCAATTTCTTATCCTGACAATTCTTCAGGTGTGTTTTACAAGAAGGCTTACCTGTCCATAGGCAAAGATGGTGCCATTATAGCCGGATATGGCACTATAACAGGATAAAAAAGGAAGGTAAGTCATTCAGCAAGCTTTTTTTTAGCTCATTTCAATTTTAGGGTTTGTACAAGTAATGTCAGAAAAACAACACATAATCAAGCTATCAACTGAAAATCAAAATAGCTCTATTCATATTGGCACTTTGGCAGGATATGAGTTTACAGACTTTGATAGACATGATAGTGTTTTACTTTTTACATGTACATGTAGTCTATAGAAATGCACTTAAGTAACATAATTCATACATTTCCTTAGTACCATAGTCTTGTATTGTAAGCAATTAAATGCTACACCTTTTCAAACTTCTGTCTACTTGCTGTGACTATCAGGCGGTGTGTGTTACCTTTGCTCATACTAACGGCAAGTATGCATGACTTACTTGTCAACAACAGGCTGTGCAACATGTTCAAAAACTTCCTCCTGTTTTGTCTGCTGCTCAAACACACGCTGGAACCTGAACATGCAGAAATAAAAGTAGGTTAAAAAACAGGTTTACACAAACCTGACAAAAATAGCAGATTGTAATCTCTATATGAAATGTTTACACAGTTCATTTTGATAGTGAGTAGCAAGAAAATGTACTACAGAAGAAAGTCTACTTCTGAAATTTGTCAGTATTGTTCCAAGCTCTCATTAGATGTGGCTTGAACCATTTGTACATGACAATTCACCTGAAGTTATACTCTTCTTTAGTGTTGTTCACAATCTGGCTCTGGTCCTTCGGCACGAAGAAGCTCAGTTTGGGTCCTCCTGACTCCTCTTCATCTACTTCATACAGCTGAAACATCAACAACAACTTCTGGTAAGTCTTACAGACCTCAGGGTGGTTTTGACATTGGTTCTAAAGAGAATTAGAAACTTCCATTTCAAAAAGAGTCTGCTTTCTGTCTGTCCTGAACCTGCTGGAAGTGCCTTGATTGCTGTTATGGAGGATAGGGAGAGGGAAGTTATGAGCAGCTTCACAGAGTGAGAGAGGGTGTGTATCTTCCTCTTATCAAACATGGAAGACAGATAAAATAAATCATATGTATTAAGTAGTCTTAGTCTGTTGTTGATTATAGAAACCTGGAGACATTTGGTTTATACATAGTCTTGAACAAGTGTAGGCAGAGCATTTGTTCAGAGTCAACACCATTCATGAGAAGCACTGCAGTTCAAGACAAGCTAAATACATCTTGATCTAGCCGCGGCGACTGTTGCAGGGCTTCTCTTGCTTGCAGTCTTTTACATTAGCCCTAACAACAGTCGCGGAGCGGTGCATTGGGCCAAATGAACAAACATGCGTTTTACCGTGCCGGAACACTTTGAGATCAAAGTTTGCACGTCCCCAGATTCCTAACAGCCTCACCAAACGTGCTGGGGTGTTTTGCACGTCAACCGGCCCCTGCGCGACTCGTACCGCCACTATTTGCGATCGCTCCTCATGTAAAACCAAGGACATTGGAACACAAAACAGTTGGCTGCCATTTTTGATTGGAATCAGCCGCCTGCAAATTTGTCGCTACTTTTCTGATAAGCTGTTTCTATGGATCAGAAAAGTAGCAGCACATTTGCAAGTAGCTGATTCAGTGCGCTGCTGACCAAGATGGCGGCCACTCGGCTTATGAATACATGGGGAGCGATCGCAAATAGCGGCGGTACAAATCGCGCAGGGGCCGGTTGACGCGCAAAAGACCCCGGCATGTTAGGTAAGGCTGTTAGGAATCCAGGGACGTGCAAACTTCGGTCTCAAAGTGTTCCGGCACGGTAAAACGCATGTTTGTTCACTTGGCCCAATGCACCGCTCCGCGACTGTTGTTAGGGCTAACGTAAAAGACTGCAAGCAAGAGAAGCCCTGCAACAGTCGCCGCGGCTAATCTTGATCCTGCTAGTGTTGTCATTGGATGGCTCTTCTGTCATGTGTGTAAAGCAAGTCACTTCACCTGGTATCACATCAAAGAAAGCAGTGATTCCAGCACAAAAACGAATTGTTCTCCATATATACACAGGACAGGTAGTCAGAACAATGTGCTCCTGGGAGACATGTTCTAGGGACAATCCATGTTGCTAGGGCAAACACATATCTTACAAAAGGTGTAACACACCTGGGTACGGGAAGTGTGTCTTTTCCCCAATAAAATGCTCTTCTTCGTATGACATCATCTTTTCAACTGTTTGGTTGTGTCAGAAAGTTTTTTTGACAGAAATACACAAATCAATACTCCAGAGCTAAAAGATGCAATTTACATCTTTAGTTCACTTCAAGTTCAACATCACACGGTACCTCAAATACTCTTTTTTTGATAAAAGGTAGAAAAATTTCAAATCATTCACAGGGGTATGCTAACATTATCTTGTACAGTGCACACAAACCTTTAAGAATGTAGGCAATGAATGACACTTGTAGTTAGTATTTTGTCACATCAGTTTGTCATACTTACTGTACATGACTTACCCCGGTCTTGCCTTTTGTGGGTTTAACACGGCAAAATATCTTGATCGTTTGCTTTACCATGTTGATCGATTTCGTCTAAACGATCCGTAGATTGCTCATAAGTAGTCCCGAGTGGTAAAACCTTTATAGTCGGCCAAAAAACCGTAAACAACGGGAATGTTTACACGAATCCCAAAATATTTTTCAAGTGGTCCGCCATCTTGTCTGGTATTCCTTATTACGCATGCGCAGATGTTACCGTCCTTATCATTCATCGCGAGAAAACACGAGAGTTCACGAGATCCGTCGATCGGATTTCCGAGGTTTACCGAATATGACGTCATCACCCTGCTCCGTCATTTCCGACTCCGTCCGACTGTGAGCACCAATTTTAGCAGTCTGCCTATTTTGACTGAGAGGGAGGGCACGAAATTTGACGCTATCATGACTTAGACCGCCGGTAAGTCAGTCTTCCTTCCTCCGGCCACAATAGTGCCACAGTTGGGGCATTCGCTTTGGTGATGGGCCAGCGCGCCAAGTGAGTATTTCTTTGTCAGACGATCTGACCGGCCAATTGCTTGGTGATTTGTTCACAGGGCTCCATTTTTCCACAGGCTGCCGTTTGACATGTGTGTCTTTGTGTACGTGAAATCGGCCTTTGGAAAATCTGGGCAATTTTAATTTACTATTTCGAGCCTGTCCTAAGTCAGATCAACGGCTGGGCGGCGAGACGCAGACTGGAAAATTACACAAACTTTATCTTCAATCAGTTGCCGAGCGTGTCAATGTTTATTTTCTAATTTCTTGTTTGACTACATCGCAAGTTCGTTATGGGACCAGTCTGGTCACAGTTCCACTCACCGTTCAAATGTGGGCTCAGTATTTTTCTGTCTGGCCAAGAATGTTGTGTTTGTCTCACAACCGCAACTCCTTCCTGTCAAATACGATGCTATTTTTTCACCATCCCTCCCGAAAGGGAGATGTTGTCACGTTTCCTGGGCTTTCAGTAAAGAACCGAACAGGAAGCTATGAGGTTATGAACCATGTTGGGAAAATTTTTATCTTGTTTCAGGATGGGCAATTCAATTTGCCCAACATTGTTCTGATTATATGTGACCAGTCTGAGAGCCTTGTCCATCGCCCCATCGGTATCTTTTAAATCTGAGAACTTCCTGCGCCTTGAGCTAGCCGTGATCAGGTTTGGGCCAGTTGTAGTGATATTGAGGACAGACAGACCAAAATGTGTATCGCCCTCTGGGACAATAACGATTGTTCCTAGCCCCCCAAGCACAAAAGGATAACATTTCACTGCTGAATGGTGTGGGGAGAATGAAAGGACGCCAGTGACTGGTGTTTTTCAAGTGTTATCACGCTGTGTTATGGTCACTGCCACACTTCAGATGGTCTTTTGTGCTCCTCTGTCTCACCTGAGGTTCACCTGTGCAGGTAGGTACACAGGTGTGCACAGGTGAAGCATACATGTACGTAAAGGTGAGAGAAAACTGTTATTACCTCGGCAGGGGGGTACATACCTTCTCATCCTGTCATTACTGGCTTCTGTCCAGAACCGACAGGCTCACGTAATGGCAGTTATTTTATTGGCACACTCAAATGGCCATCAACCACTCAATACCTGTTTTTCAACGTAGCTGAAATGTTCAAAATACTTCTGCCTTGTTAATCAATTAACCCATTGGTCTGTTTACACCTGGAGTAATGATTTTTGTTGGAAGGGTGGACTGTATAAGGTAGCTGTGTTGTGTTTTGCTTGTAGGTGAGTACAGGAGACATAGCCATGCCGCGCAAGAAGCGAGGTGGCTGCTGTAGCTGCCTGGGAGGGAATGATGAAGCGCCAGAGATCACCTATGCGCTGGACAACGGCATCGCGCTCCACCCTGTGGAGATGGCCATCCCACCCATGCCGCCCACGGAGGAGCTCAATGCCAAGTTCAACGAGCTTGTGGTGAGTGCTGATTGCATGGAAATCAATCGATCGACCATCCAATGCTTGGCATATATTTGCCATATAACATATGTCAGACTGCAGCTGAAAAATCAAAGTTATCCTTTCACTCTCAGTTCTACTCTATTTGTTTTACCAGGCAAGAAATGCACTTTCGAAGCGGCCTTGGAAGGACCCAGAGCACAAATAATATGAATGTTAGAATATATGTACCTTAAATGTAAAGAAAGTAACATAAAAGCTTTGCTCTGGTTGACAGTCAACTACTAGTATATAGCTTAACCCCCTGTCAGAACCCGGTGGTATCCTCTATAGAATCTGGGAACCTATAATTGATAGTGATGTTCTCTGGTTGAGTGACAAAAGTGTAGAGTCTGGTGTGACAGACAGGCATTCAACACCACCATCCAAAACTGCTGCTCCATTCAGGGAAGTCCCTGTAGTTAGTTGGGAAGGTCTTGACCTAGCAGGCCCAGGTCACCCTCTTTGGCAGCTTCCCTGGTGCGGTGCATATCATAGGCTGCTCCAGAAGTGTCAGTGGCCAGGCTGAGAGTCAGGGTAGGAAGCAACTCCTGCTGCACACAGCCAGCTCTGGGGCTGTCCTTTCATACCCATGCAAATTACATGGTCTTACAATCACACAGTCTCGTGATGGTGGACACATCAGTTAGGGGTGGCACTGGGACTGACCTCTGCTGAAAGATTCAGGTCAGCTACTGAAAAAATAAAATGTCTACAATCCTTTGAGCTGGCCTAGCTTTTGTTGTGGGGATACATCTTGTTTGGAGAGTGTACTGGGCACTTCCAATCCAGGGATGCTAGCTATAATCTACCGAAGAGGCTCCATCTTTATTGACAGCAACTGCAGTTCTCCCATATCAAATTGCAACAAGCAGGATGTTTAGCAGAAACAAAGTTGTAAAGGCCTTCAATCAATTGGACATTTTTGAAAAACTGCAGACTCTTTGTCAGGGGGCGGGAGGTCTGAGTATTTACTGTCATTTCTTTCTTGTTTTCTTGTGTTCTAAATTGGTCTTTGCTTACAAAGGCAATGTAAACATGGCTACTCCTCTCTCTCAGAGGGAAGACCCTGTAGAAGCTTTACATAAGAGAGGACTATGTTTCTGTCTTCTCAGCAAACAACAGGACAGTCTGGTCTGAAGAGCCCTTCAATGCCGTGAGACATCTATTGTGGTTTCAGTTTACTTTTGCTCAATCTTGTTGGCCCAAATCTTTGGTTCTCAGGTTGCTTTGCTTTAGAAACAGGTGACCCCGCTTTAGGGGATTTACCCAGGGCCGACCTGCTGACAGGAATCAGGAACTGCTCCACCATGCAGCAGCAAGCCTGAAACAAACTCAGCAATAATCCTACTCTCACTAGCTAAACATGGTAAACAAATATTATAGAACATTGAGCAAAAACAAGATCGTTCTCTATAAACTCTGCCTAGGGAGGGGAGTATTGAATAAAATCAGCATACCTATGCAAATATACCAGAATATATCAGCTAATATATCAACAAATATAAGACAAATCTCACCAATACGCTTACTTTTACCAGCTTATAAAGTGTTGAAATAGTAAAAAAAAAAGATGTTGTAAAGTTTAACAATAGTGAAATAATTAGCAGTTGTAACATAGACTAGTACATATATATTTCAATTTTAAAATGCACATTTTTGATTTGTCTACGTACCAGTATTTTTGCAACCTTGAATACCTTTCTGTTTATTTTCATATGAGAACTAAAACTGCTCCTGGAAAAACCAAAGTTATTGTTCCTTCCATAAGTTTGTTCTGTCATTATGTACTAGTACTACAAATATTGGGTGATATAAAGTCAGATCTATCAGTGTCCCATTGTGACATCATATGACACGATGAGTTAGGATGGTGGGATGAATAAAGACCCTGCCAGGATGAGAAGACAGCCCAGTTCCTGTGTGTTTGTCCCCAGAGTGACACTGCCACTGACAGATTGATGAGAGCTGGAGGTTGGCAGATGCAAACTGGGGCAGCTCACATTATTTACCCTGCCCCCCTCCCACCCCATCAGCTCAGCTTGTCTTACACAGCCCTGTTACTTTGATCCTGCTACAAACAGTTTAAACACCAGCCAGATTTACAGCTGACTTTCATTACCATTAAACCCAGCCCTGCTGCTCAGGCTCAGCCAGCCAAATCACACATTTGTTTTTCCTTCCTGCTCTGGCCCAAACCAGTTACAAATGTACACAGCAGGAGAAAATATCAGGACATCCACTGAAAATCAGTGAATTTTTTAAAACAGCGGAATACATTTTTGAACATGTCAATGCCTTTGTACAGGCTTTCATTTGGAGTGCTGTCTTCAGTTACCCCTATATATGATCCAGAATGAAACTCCAATCATAGTTGATATTTATTTGAATGCATAAGGCTGGTTTGTTGTTATAGTCTGAGAATTAGTCTGAATATAGAACTATCAAATGAGGGACAAAAGCTTCTGTATTTATTAATTACATTATGTGCATTACTGCCCTTCTGCTAGTCCCAGTCTGTCGTTGTCCTGCATATTAATGATTTATATGCAGGGCAGACTCTTTGGGAAATTAGCAGATAATACATGGGATTAGCATTCTGATTTGCCATCATCTGCAAGTCAGAGCCTGACTACCTTGCCAACATTGTACATGCAGTTCTGGCTGTTGTTTTTGGCTGTTGTTTTTGTGTGCTTGAAGATTACTTTGAAATTGTGTGATTTTTTATGTAAAATGGGAATAAGGTTTTAAAATTAAGTAAGTTAGGTGTTGTTGTATGGAGTCGAGTCGATAACTACAGTATCTTACACACAGTGTAGTTTATATGCCTCTCTCTGTCCAGGGCTCTATGCCCCTCCCCACCATTGGTACTGCTGACAAAAGTGTCATGTAGGCAGGCTGCAGGGCTCATCTCATTTGTCACTAATAGCTACAGTAATAACCAAGGATTAGTGACAGTGCTTTAAAAGACAGCCTTTATGGCTATGGAGGCAATTATCAAATGGGTCATAATTGGAGGGGGTGTTTTTATTGGGATGAAAGTGTAGAAACTATGCACATGATAATTTGGAAAATCACACTGACTGATTGCAACATTAGTTTTATCAAGCAAAATTTTGTTTCATGAAAATAAATTTGACTTATGAAATGAGTTATTTATGAAGTGCTAATGATAGCTAGTTTTACATTTCAGTTTGTGGTTGCAGAAATGAAATAGAATGTATCAGATGTCATCCATCCAAGAAGTTGAATTAAATTTCATACATCTCAGACTCAGGGAGATTTTGTGCTCCAATATTTAAAGAGCAGGTATTTGCACTTGTAAAAAAAAGTTTCTGCCTTCCAAAATGACACAAATGTTGAAATTTGAAAAGTATTTAAGAAATAAAAATCTGCTTCTTCTCAGACTAGAGAGACAGCAAATTCTTAAGACTGTAGACCACGTTCTGTGTCTGTCCAGTTGATAACACGACAGTTGGAAGTGGCTGTTGTAACTTGCAGCTCCGCTACTCTGTGTACTTCAGAGGAGTTATTTGGCACACGGGGGCTGCACTTCCTTTTGGATGTAAACTGGACTGTGTTGTTGACACTACCCAGTCATGGGTGCCTTCTCTATTCTCTATACATCATCCCTGAATCCCCATTGTTAGTTAATGTTACCCTAACCCAAGGGAGGGAAGAAAAAGGGCACTTGACATCAGTAAACAAGGAAGTGCAATAATGTTTTTGACTCGTCTGTCTGTAGATAGATTTGTGTGTTTCTGCATGATTTATGCAATGTTTACTGAATCACTCAAAAAACTTGCATTTTTCATACAAGGGATTTGTAACATTGATTTTTTGTATAAGGCAATAGTATAAGATTTGCATACATCATAACGGGGTGATTTCTCCCATCTCTGATTGTTTCTCCTTGTTGCAGGATGAACTTGACCTGACAGCCCCGTACCGACAGAACATGCTCAATCTACCGCCTGAGAAGAAATGGCAACTGTACTGCAGCAAGAAAAGGGTAAGTACATCTCCTTGTGCTGACCATAAATATAGTTACACTGTACTACATAGATCTATTATGTTATCCAAAAGACAAGACATTATCCAATAGGCAAGACTGTATCCAATAGTCAAGACATTATCAAACAGGCTGTCATAGAAGCTAGTTGCTCCACAGAACTGAGTATGAGAAACATTATGATTTTGCCTTTCTACATCTGCTTGGAGATTACTTAATTGTCGCTGTCACACGTTCCTCTTATGTCAGCACTTTACCACAAACAAAGGCAGGACAAAGGGCATCACGGCACACTTCTGTTCCACTGTTTCACTACTGCTGGTTTTCTACAAGGGATCAAAATATCCTCTGTTATCTCTACCAACAGACAGAAATAAGTCAGTCTCACCCTGGCAGTTCCGGCTGTTTTATTTCTTGCCAAATGTCCATGATCAGCTGAAGTATTGTGTTGTGTATTTACTTTAGATGTGGAGGGAGTTCTGTATATTCCCTGCCGGCCCTCCCAGACCCCATGTTGGGTTCCATCAGGCAGTTACAGGGATGACTGGGGAAGTTAAAAAGCTCTGGTTGTGTTTCTGCCGGAGAAGTTCAGAGGTTGTGTGATTTACTCATGTCCCTTAATTCGCGTCCTCTCCGTGCGGACCTGTGTGGGCCTGGTGCCAGCTGGGGTGAAACAGAACAGATGAGGCTGGCGCGTTGTTCAGTCGTTATCTGCCTGGAGAAGTACATCAAAGTTCATAAAACACAGACAAAATCTTTGTGTCTTCTAGTGAGTTATGTGTGCAGCAGTTAAGACATCCTCTAATGTTATGTGATGTTATATGAATTATGATATGTATGATATATATAGAAATGTAGGAGAAAATATAATACACTGGGATTGGTACGAACATATTTTGGAAATCTTGTCAACACTAAGAACATCTATGAATGAATGACTAAATTTTGTAAATGTCTGATTTATAAATCTATTTGGAAAAGTCAAGGATATATGGTAGTCATAGGCTGTGTTGTACATTTGTAATTAATCACTGACATGATTAAAAACACAATGTCTGTTCCACAGTTGTTGGGAACAACTTTCTCTACTTGCCAAGTTGGAGTTTAGCCAAACCTTTCTATTAGTTGCCCTGGGTCACATAGCCGGGTGTGTTGGAGTTCCAACAGTTATGTGAGGCCTGACTTATTTGGGATCACACAAAGCCTTCCCTTCATAGATATGGTAATATCTGCATGATATGGTTACAACCTTTCATACCTGTACAGTATGGTTTTGCTGTATTTGCACAATGTGGTTCCCCATGATTAATGAGTTCCCTTAGGTGGTGAACTTGATCTTAGTGTGTCCCCAGAAATATCCTCACCATCCAGCTTCAGAAATGCAGGATGATGTTTTTTCTGGTCTGCTTGCCTACAGGCTTTGTTGTCTTTGGACCTGGTCACACAAACTTCCTGAAGCTCCAGTTGATGAACGTTCCCTGTGTGATTAGCCTTGGTTTGTGATCCTTGCCAACTGTTCTGTGGGGGTGGATGGCAGCTTTCTAAACCAGTACTGGCATGCTGGGACTAGTCCACATTTGTGTTATTTCTATCAAGTGAAAGTTCAGCTAATACCTTTAATTGATTGATACAGATAGCCTTTTGAAGCTGACTATATCTATATAGAACTGACCACATGCAAATAATATGTAAAAGCCAAATGGTGATGTAATGACTACTGAATATATTTTGATCCCCCTTGCAGAATACCATGTGAAGATTCCATAGAAGGAACCAATTGCCTTACAACACTCTGACAGGCTGATATCAGTGCATGATTTATTTTGTATGTCTATGTTGTAGTTTGTAGTTGACCATACAGAAGTCGCTGTACTTAGTGTTGCATCAATAAAGCTTCTGCATCAGTCAGTTCAACCCCTCACACCTCATGACTGCCAAAGTATCTGAAACTTGAACTGTCCCAGATGAAGTTTTACTGTCATGTGGACACAGAGACCATGTAAATCTGCAGCCCTACAGACAGCCGTCTGTCCTATGATCTGGCAGGCTCTGATTTACCAACATGCCATGTTTCTGTATAGGATCTAGGCATGACACAGGAATGTGGGCACCGCAGTGCTTAGGCCCGCTATGTGAACCCCCATACCTCGCTGGCTCGCTCAGTGCTTAGTCCGGCTATGTGAACCCCCATACCACACTGGCTCGTGCCCCGCTGTGGGGGCTTAGCTGGCATTCTTTGATGCCAGGTATCCTGTTTGTGTGGCTGAGAGAACGTTACTGTGGAGTAGTGCGGTGATACACGACAGTTTTGTTCATAACAAGGCGGCATGTCTGGGAGCAGGCTGATTTTTATCTGTGCTTGGTTGTGGGTATATATGTAGGGATGGGCAGCCTGCCACTGAGAAGGAGGGTAGCCTGACGCTGCTAATTACGCAGACATTCCTGTCAGCAGCAAACTGTTCATGTTGAAATGTTGAAAACATGCAACCTGGATAGGGAGTGCTAAGTAGGTGCATTTCCCAATTATGTTCCTGAGGAAAAAAACTGAAGCTAAGAAAGAAGGGCAAAGACATGAAAATAGCAGTTCTGTAATGGAGGGAAAATATTTAATTTTCTCACCTACCAGTTACATCAAACTGTCATTAAGTGTAAAATGGTTCAACAAACAAGGCAGGTATTTTTGTAGTATGTTCTTTAATTGATAAGAAATAGAAACCTTTTTCATCCGTAAACAGATCAAGTAAATCTAAGAATCCAAGGCATTCCTTTAAACTTCTAGCTATATAGATCTGTCACCAGTTTGAAAATGACATGCTTAAACCTCTGACTACTGAGCTGGAGAAACTGGAGGGATAAGATGTCTAGGGAAAACTTTCTGCATACAATGTTTTGTATATGTTTATATCTCAGTGGAAACTCTCCTGTTTTCAGCTCTTTCACCCATGTTTCTACTCACAGCATAATGTATGGGAACACATCATGGTATTTTCTCCTTTCCCTCTGTAGTGGATATCACTTACTCCACTTTGTCTGCTGACTTTGAACTTCCCACTGACTCCCGTTGTGGAAACAGCGCTCAGCTGAAAGATGTTTTGGACAAAGAGAAGTCAAGCTTTTTCACAGTCCAAAAGAGAGACGGTGTGGCATTCCGGCTGAGTTGTTTCCAAGACTGGTGGGCTATTGTGTGGAGTGACCTTTTCGTTTGGCTACGAAATGCCCCATTGTGGATTACAGAGCACTGCCATTACTACATCAGGTCTTGTTCAAAGAGTGATGTTGTGGTACTCCAGGCTAGTTTTGTGTTTTAATGGAGTGCTATAGTGCAAAGTTGGGCCATAACTCTACATACAGTATACCTCCTTGCTGAATACTGAGTCATCAAAGTCAAAGTCTGGAAGTCAGTGTGGTTTGAGATGTATGCCGGGGTCAGGTTGGGTCGGCGTACTTGCGTCATGTATGTTTGTGGGGTAAACATGCGACATTGACTGAGATGTACAACACTGGCCACAACTGCAGCGAAATGTAGGCTTGGAAGATACTGTGGATGGCCACAGTGAAGTGAAAGATGGATGTGTAAAAAGGCCACACCTTATGAATTACCATTTTCCATACATAAGTGCAGTTGTTTTTTGTTTAAAAATTGATTCCGTTATCTTGCAGTAGTGACTACATCACATGTATTTCTACTGCATGCAGAAGTCACATTGTGACATTAAACCAGATGAAGCTCCACAAAATTCTTGTGTCAACACCAGTACTACATACACGTACTAGGTACAGGTAGAACTTGAAAGTTTCTTTGCGGGGAGCTGGTTCTGACCAAGGACCTCGGGGTCAGGGTCATGACCTGTGTGCAGTCTGACATCCCTCCTCATGTTCCTGTCAAAATAACTCAGGATCTCTGCTGATGACAGACAGTAGGACTTGCAGGGGAAGTTTTTCATAGGAATCTGCCTTTTGTTAATTGGAGTCTTTTGACATGTGTGGAAATTATTGATGTTAAACTATGGCAACAAAAAACTGTTGTAGTTTGTGTAGCCTACATGTATCTGGAATAGACAGAACATTTCTTGGGAAAACAGGACATTGTTTACTCTTGTCAACATCTTTTGGACACCTCAGAACTAAGAATTGATTGTAATGACCTGAGATAACCTCTGCATGACCCGGTGTCAAGGGCATGGCCCTTACCAAGTTGGTTGACACTCATGACTTGAATACCATCATACAGTACTGTGGTATTACAAATAGCTAAAACTGTACGCATAAGGGAACATACTGCAGCAGCATAGAAAATGTTTCTAGCTTTTGGTAAGAAATTGCCATGATCTATTTTGTTGCCTGGTTACCTCCAAGTGATGTGTGATTTATAACTCTGGCCTTCTGTCTGCTGACATGTTTACTCAGAACTAGCAATGGTTTGTTTTCAGTATCATAAAAGAAGATAAACAGCCATCCAGAATTGTTATTGTTCCACAGCATGTCTTGGAAGGGTTGGCATTAAACAGTCCCATTTGAAGTAACATAAATTTTTCAAGAGAAAGGTGACCCATGTCAATCCATGCACACTGCAGTAAAACATACATGCATGTTGAAGTTTGGCATTTCTCCTTGGGTTCTATGGTTACTTCAGCACAAGGATGTGATTGTGAAGTATTATACTTGACTTGTTTGTCTTTGTGTCTATGTGTAACATTGCAGCATGCATGTATAGTGCTGCTGTTCTTGTGTGGGGGAGTGGAGGGGTGGCAAAGCATATTGGTAAAGGGGTGAAGTCTGCCATCTCTGATTGCCTTTTCTGTAGCTTTTGTGGTTGTCGCCCATAAAATGGTAGTGTGAGCCAGCAGGCACCTGCCCAGAGCCCTGCACCTGCCTTACCAGCCAGCCTGTACATGCATGGTCCAGTGGCAGTAGACAGGTCCAGTCACACCTGACTACCTCCATCCCTCAGGGAGACCAGCAGAATGGATGTCTGCAATTTGCCAGGAACACTTCATTAT